ATCCTACGGGCGTGGGTCACAGATGGTGAAAGGAAGTCAGAGAGTGTTTTTCGAGGACGAAACATGAGAGGAAATAGAGGAGATTTCAGAGGAAGGAGGGGGGCTGACAGGCAATTCATTCCACCCAGCCAGTCACACCGGAATGAGGAAGTAATCGACCTAGCTGAAATGGAATGGGATGACTGAAGAGTATCTGTATCTCTTTCACTGCTCTGATAGATAGCTGTCTCAGCACAGAGATTGCACAAGGAATAAAAGCTAGGCCCGCCACAGCACAAATCAACAAAAATAACATTTGTTTAATCCACCCGGATCCAGGCACCCAAGAAAACCACATGTCCGGTGTTTGTAATCTTTGACCTATCTTGGATGCCCTATCCTGCAATTCCTTGGCAATTCCTCTGACCACACCTGATTTATTCATGTAGAAGCAACAATCTTCTCCCAGAAATACACACACACCTCCTCTCTCTGCGGTTAGGAAGTCTAAGGCACGTCGATTTTGTAGGACCACTGCAGCCAATGAATCTATCTGATGTTGACAGAACGCTTTATTGAAGAAAAAGTTCATGATACAGACACATATATCGAAATGGGGTCTGGGAAAGAATGGAGAGAGTACTATCTTGCCTAGATTAACCATATGTTGTGTATTGAGTGGAATATTTAATTTAATTTAATTTAATTTCCAATTTATATACCGCCCTTCTCCCTGAGGACTCAGGGCGGTGTACAGCCAAGATAAAAAACATAGAATACAAATATTAAAACATTTAAAAATATATATAAATTTTGGCCCGAAAGTTAAAAAAATCACAGACTAATTAAAAGAATTTAAAAATTTCTTCTTAAGCCAACCTGGCTTGCTGGAAAAGATGGGTTTTCAGGGAACGACGGAAGGCATTGAGGTCATGGATTCTCCTTATCTCCGGGGGCAACTGATTCCAGAGGGTGGGAGCCCCCACAGAGAAGGCCCTCCCCCTGGGGGCCACCAGCCTACATTGTTTGGCTGATGGCACCCTGAGGAGGCCCTCTCTGTGGGAGTGCACGGGTCGATGGGAGGTCGTTGGTAGCAGCAGGCGGTCTCGCAGATAGCTAGGCCCTATGCCATGGAGCGCTTTAAAGGTGATGACCAACACCTTGAAGCGCACCCGGAAGACCACCAGGAGCCAGTGCAGCTTGCGCAGGAGCGGTGTTACATGGGAGCGCCATGTTGCTCTCATCACTACCCACGCTGCTGCATTCTGGACCAGCTGGAGCCTCCGGGTGCTCTTCAAGGGGAGCCCCATGTAGAGAGCATTGCAGTAGTCAAGGCGAGAGGTGACGAGGGCGTGAGTGACTGTGCACAGGGAATCCCGATTGAGAAAGGGCCGCAACTGGCGAATCAGGCGAACCTGATAAAAGGTCCCCCTGGTAACAGCCGTCAGATGTTCCTCCAAAGACATGCCTATCCAGGAGGACTCCCAGACTGCGAGCCCTTTCAGTGGGGACCAAAGACTCGCCCCCAATAGTCAGTGATAGAGTCAACTGACTATATCGGGATGCCGGGAGCCACAGCCACTCAGTCTTGGAAGGGTTGAGCTTGAGCCTGTTCCTCCCCATCCAGATCTGCACAGCCTCCAGGCACTGAGACATCACTTCAAGGGCATCGTTGGGGTGGCCTGGGGTGGAGATGTACAGCTGGGTGTCATCAGCGTACTGATGGTATCTCATCCCAAAGCCACGGATGATCTCACCCAGCGGCTTCACATAAATGTTGAACAGAAGGGGCGAGAGGACCGATACCTGCGGCACTCCACAAATGAGAGGCCTCGAGGTCGACCTCTGCCCCCATGCCAACACAAACTGCGACCAGTCGGAGAGAAAGGAGGAGAACCACTGCAACACAGTGCCTCCCACCCCCAACTCTTCCAGCCGGTGCAGCATGATACCATGGTCGATGGTATCAAAAGCCGCTGAGAGATCTAATAGGACCAGAACAGAGGAACAACCCCTGTCCCGAGCCCTCCAGAGATCATCCACCAACGCGACCAATGCCGTTTCCGTCTAGACCTGAAACCCCGACTGGAACAGATCTAGATAGGATGTTTCCTCCAGGAATTGCGGAAACTGTTGCGCGACCACACTCTCAACAACCTTTGCAATGAAGCGAAGGTTGGAGACAGGACGATAGTTAGCCATATTGCCGAATCCAGGGACGGCTTTTTGAGGAGAGGCCTCACCACCGTCTCTTTCAGGGCAGCGGGGAAGTGACCCTCACTCAACGAAGCATTAATGACGCCCTGGAGCCAGCCTCGTGTAACCTCCCGGGAAGCCAGTACCAACCAGGAGGAACACGGGTCCAGTAAACATGTGGCCGCACTAAGTCTCCCCAAAATCCTGTCCACATCATCGGGAGTCAAAGCATCAAACTCCTCCCAGATAACATTCTCAAGACTGTTCCTCGTCATCCTGCCCTGATCTACCCAGTCAGGGTCCAAATCCCCCCGGATCTGAGCGATTTTGTCATACAGGTATTGTCCGAAATCCTCCGCCCTGCCTTCTAAGGGATCCTCCCGCACTCCCGGATGGAGCAGGGAACGGGTCACCCTAAACAGGGCGGCCAGACGATTCCCTGATGACGCAATAGAGGCGGAAAAGTAGTTAGACTTTGCCGTCTTTATCGTCACTAGGTAGGCCTTAATATGCGACCTTACCAGTGTTCGATCAGATTCAGCGAGACTGGCCCTCCAACCGCTCTCCAGGCATCTTTTCTGGCGCTTCATTTCCCTCAGCTCCTCAGTAAACCAAGGAGCCGCACGGGATCGGCATCGGGTCAGAGGCCGCAAAGGCACGACTCGGTCCAAGGCCCCCACCCATATATATTATATATAATATATAATATATAATATATTAGCTTTGTGTATTAGAAGACATAGAGTGTTGTGTAAGAAGTAATGAAAGTTTATGCATGGAAAAACTTCCATTAGGGGGGAAATGAGGTAAATAAAAGGTGAATAAAAGAAATAATCATTCCAAGTCAGGTATATAAAGTCAGATCAAATCCTATGAACTCTGAATAAACTTTGAATGAACTCATCTATTCACATAAGTATACGTGCTGGCTAAAGGCAGCTGGACTCCATTATTGGTAAATATATCTTCTGATGAGGCTCAACTGTCATCCAGCAGGAAAGTTAAGAGTGGAGTTCTGGTGAATGAAACTAAGCAATTAGTTCATGGATGTCCCCATAATTACTTGACCTATGGCCCTGTGTCAAACCCACTGATTCTATACATCTTCTTAATAGAATCAAATGTGAACATCTGGACGGATATACATGGGAGACAGAAGGTTACTTATTGTTTAAAGTATAGCCATAATTCTGCATTTAAACATTACAGCACTTAAAGGACAGTTGTAAAACATAAAGTGATGGGTTAGTAAAAGTTGTAATAGTTTAATCATGAGTAAATGATGGAGTAGTGAAAATGTGTAGCCTAAATAATTTTATCAAATAATAGGTAATGGTTTGATAATTAGTAAAGTGTAATGTAAGTGAAATGTATTTTTAATGTAACCATATATGGAAGCCGGAAAGGCTCATAGAACTCTTTGTCTTGAAAACATATTTAAGTCATAAAATTCTAATCATTCTCTGTTCAGGTTGCAATAACCAAACATAGCACTGAACCTTTGCGCAAATAAATGGATGTTTGACCCCGGAATGTGTTTCAGCCTCTCCTTTCTACAACACAGGCACCCCCGACACAAGTGACGTCAAGCTGGCCACGCCCACCCCACCCCCCTGAGGTCAAACACAACCCTGATGTGGATTCAATGAAATGGAGTTTGACACCATTGTCCTATAGTTTGACACCCCTGCTCTAGAATCTTCGTCAGAGAACTACAGGAAGAACCACTTATTTTGTTATACCACTGATACCTTGCCTTTTCACACTGGTAAGTAGATCAATACAGATAGTCCTTGACTTATGAATATAATTAAGCCTAAAATTTTTTTTGCTAAGTGAAATATTTGTTACCACATTTTATGACTTTTCTTGCCAGTTAAGTGAATCACTTGTTAAATTAGTAACATGGTTGTTAAGTGAATCTGACTTCCCCATTGCTTACCTGAAGATTATAAAAGCTGGATCACATGACCCTGGGACACTGCAATAGTCATAAATCAATCAGTTGCCAAGTGTCTGAATTTTGATCACATAGGGAAGCTGCAATGGTCATAAATGTGAAAAATTGTTATAATTTTTTTCAATGTCAGTAACTATGAACGATCATTAAACAAACTGTTGTAAGTCAAGGACTACCTGTATTCAAGATGCCTTTTTTAAAAATAGATGCCCCCAGGTGGCATCTGCATAGTGGCAATCTGCTAAGTGCATGTCCCTTGGTGCCAAACAAATTCCCTGACTTCCCATCCGTTTTCATGTATTTTTCCTTTGAAATAAAGAAGGAAGAAGCTGACATGCTAAAATATTCAGAGCATTGTTTGGGGGGTAAGGTAGGGTGAGGAATAGGAAACTGGGAGGGAACCAAGGTTAGGCTACGGGGAAAGGCTTTATAATACATGAGTGCTTTATAAACAATTGTTTTGTGAATAGATATTCGGCTGAAGCAGCCATTTTGTTCTGAAAACGCTAAATGACCCCACGAGGTCCCAGAGGATGGAAAATCTTTGTGAGGAAAACACTCTTACCCCAGAATTAGCAGGGGGTGCTCTTTACTCCATACAGCAAAGAGAGCTTTCGTCGTGCATACATGCACCAGAATCGATTTCCTCGTTTTGCAAATCAAGCAATAGTTTGGGAGTCGATTGTAGGTGAAAGGAACAAGAGATGCGTGGGAGAAGCACCATCACCACGGCTAAGTCTAGGCGCGTGACCCTAGTGACAGTTGCCGGCGCGCGACGTGCCTTTTCTCGGCCGTTACTTTCCCGTGTCCACGGCAACTGTTAGCGCTCTCGGTGGGGGAGGAGCGACCCAGCCTATTCAGCTGAGTCCGAAGCCCAGCACGGTAAACTATTCCGCCTTCGTTTCCTGTCATCTGCCCTTTTGGGGCCTGTCCGCCTGTCCCTACTTCGGGGCAATGAGAAGAGCGGGCCGGCCTAGGCGAGGAAGCGGCAAAGAGTCGCCGCCTCTCAATCTCGCCAGTGGCGGGGGCAATAGCCGCGGCAGGCGAGCTCCTCCTTCTCCTACGCGCCTGCCACCTCAGGAAGAGAAGTATCAGGGCCGAAGCGGAGATACAGAGCCCGATCGCGAACCAACCGCTGCTGTCTTCTTACTCCGCGGGCTGCAACAGTCACTGGGGAGGCAGCTTCCCGGTGGGGCCTCTCCTCAGGCAATGAAGAGGGGAGGACCAGGCAGGAAAGGGACCAAAAGCGACTCTCAGAAGCAAGCGAAGCGGGACCGCTTGGCCCACGAATTCGGCGAGTGGCAAGACTGGCTGCGCGGTGAGAGACCTGCAGTGGGGGGATCGTAGGGTCTGGAGCGGAAAAGCAAGAACGGAGGGAAGGACTCTGCCGCGGGAGCTCCGGCTTAGTCAAATGTACTTCCTGCAGCCCGATCTCTGCCTGCCTTTTTGGAATAGGCGAGAGGAATTGAGTTCGATGGAACTTCTTCCCACATGAGGGTAGGCTGTAGTGGCGCTTCCTTCTGAGTCCTCCGAGTCATTGTGTGGATGTGAAGATCAAGCTGCCAGGGACCCCCTTGAAGTTTATAATTGCCGTTAGCGCCTGTATCAATGGGAAGTTACACAAAACACCATCCTTGGGGCGGGACAAGGTTTTATCAAAATACTTTTCAAATGTTTGACAAAATGAAAATAATTAGGAGTAGGGGATTGCCGCTTTCCCTGCCCAAACTTTGCTTTTTTGTGGTCTTGGTATCAAACTTCAAAAATAGACAGGATGGTGAGGAAAGAATGCAGTTGTAGATAAACTTTAAGGGGAAAATGAAATTGGTCAGTTTTATTTTACATGAAGGCATACTTATTATACAGTATTCACTTTTGGATACTTGTATGTGAGATGCAGGTAAAGAGGAAGAAGTGAATAAAAGGCAGATGGTAAAACAAAGGGCTTCTATATCTAACAATCTAGTTTTGACAATACCATTCATTATATCTTTACATTACTTTCTGTCTTTGCAGATCATCTTTGTTTCCACCTGATTTGTACCCTGATTCATATATTGCCTTTTCTCTCTTTTTCAACATCTCATCAATTCCATCCAGCCATACATTTCTTGTTTTCTTTTTCATTCATTCATTCTGATTCATTTTTTTTGGTAAACCACCTTGTACATTTTGTGTTCAATGCATATTTCAATGCATTGAAATATGCTTGGATCCGGATTATTATTATTATTATTATTATTATTATTATTATTATTATTATTATCATCATCATTATTAATTTTTATACCACCCTTCTCCCGAAGGACTCAGGGTTTTTTCTTTTAAAAGCCTCTGGCGATCTCAGCTGAGCTGCACGATCATCAGAGGCTTTATTTTTTACTTTTATAAGCATTTTTTGGTCGAAGAGGTTGTAGAAAAAATGATTTTAAAAATAATAAAAAAAGCCTCTGATGACTGTGCGGCTCAGCTGGGCATGGGGGGGGGGCAGGGATTTTTGCTACCGGTTCTCCGAACCACCCGCCTCAATCGTTACCGGATCAGGTGATCCGGTCCAAACTGGGAGCAGTTCATCCCTGGCTAAATCTCACAATTTTTTACAGTAAATATATCTCATCCTACTGAAAAAAATGTTATTAGTGTTAACAAAGTTTGTTAACTCTTGTTTTAGTATTACTGAGAAAAGAACTAGATTCAATATGAGGAAGCAAAAAGTTAGCTTTCGAAATATAATAATCTTTTTTGCGAGGTCAATTCTTTTAAATACATTTTATAAATTCTATAGATTTTTTTTTTAATTTGATTTATATGCCGCCCTTCTCCAGAGACTCAGGGCGGCTTACAATGCGCTAAGCAATAGCCTTCATCCTTTTTGTGTATTTATACAAAGTCAGCTTATTGACCCCACAACTGGGTCCTCAATTTATCTACCTTAGAAAGGATGGAAGGCTGAGTTAACCTTGAGCCTGGCGAGATTCGAACCTGCAGTAATTGCAGGCAGCTGGTCTTAATAACAGATGGTCTAAAAACAGATTAATAGTAGGTTAATGACGTTCATTTTCTTTTTATATAGATACTCTGAGAGAAACAGGATTCTTTATTGCAAGAACAGATAGCAAAATATGGCTTACACTTATAATGGGTGAGAATTTTACAGTTCTTATTTTCTTACAGGGATCGTGCAAAAGTCAGTCCTGTTGATTAAATTTTAAGTGTAGGATATTTCCTACAAAATCGTTAAAATAATATGTTCATATGGTAGCTGAATCTGACTCTTGAAGAAAAATATGAGTTTTATTACACTTTTGTTATTAAGGGGTATAATAATATATGACAAAATGAGCAGTTTTTCAAGTGATATAAAATATATATATTTCATTAATAAACTATATATTTACATTTATATTTGGAATTGTTAGTATTAAAGGCAGTAGCTTAAGGCTGATGATTGTTGGTGTTAACCTTAATTTTTTTAGTTATAGATTATACCTTTGAAATTTTCTATAGTTGTATTACAAAGATATATCCAAACTACAAGAGTATGTATGCAGTATTCTCATGGACTTTATATGTATACAGTCAGGTCCAGAAATATTGGGACATCGACACAATTCTAACATCTTTGGCTCTATACACCACCACAATGGAGTTGGAATGAAACAAACACAATGTGCGTTAACTGCAGACTGTCAGCTTTAATTTGAAGGTATGTACATCCAACTCAGGTGAACGGTGTAGGACTTACAGCAGTTTGTATATGTGCTTCCCACTTGTTAAGGGACCAAAAGTAATGGGACAATTGGCTTCTCAGCTGTTCCATGGCCAGGTGTGTGATATTCCCTCATTACCCCAATTACAATGTGCAGATAAAAGGCCCAGAGTTCATTTCAAGTGTGCTATTTGCATTTGGAATCTGTTGCTGTCAACTCTCAAGATGAGATCCAAAGAGCTGTCACTATCAGTGAACAAGCCATCATTAGGCTGAAGAAACAAAACAAACCCATCAGAGAGATAGCAAGAACATTAGGCGTGGCCAAAACAACTGTTTGAAACATTCTCAAAAAGAAGGAATGCACCAGTGAGGTCAGCAACACCAAAAGACCTGGGAGACCATGGAAAAGAAGTGTAGTGGATGACCGAAGAATTCTTTCCCTGGTGAAGAAAACACCCTTCACAACAGTTGGCCAGATCAAGAACGCTCTCCAGGAGGTAGGTGTATGTGTGTCGATGTCAACAATCAAGAGAAGTGAATACAGAGGGTTCACCACAAGATGTAAACCATTGGTGAGCCTCAAAAACAGGAAGGCCAGATTAGAGTTTGCCAAACAACATCTAACAAAGCCTTCACAGTTCTGGAACAAGATCCTATGGACAGATGAGACCAAGATCAACTTGTACCAGAATGATGGGAAGAGAAGAGTATGGAGAAGGAAAGGAATTACTCATGATCCTAAGCATACCACCTCATCAATGAAGCATGGTGGTGGTAGTGTCATGTCGTGGGCATGTATGGCTGCCAATGGAACTGGTTCTCTTGTATTTATTGATGATGTGACTGCTGACAAAAGCAGCAGGATGAATTCTGAAGTGTTTCAGGCAATATTATCTGCTCACATTCAGCCAAATGCTGCAGAACTCATTGGACAGCGCTTCACAGTGCAAATGGACAATGACCCAAAGCATACTGCAAAAGCAACCAAAGAGTTTTTGAAGGGACAGAAGTGGAATGTTATGCAATGGCCAAGTCAATCACCTGACCTGAATCCCGTTGAACATGCATTTCACTTGCTGAAGACAAAACTGAAGGGAAAATGCCCCAAGAACAAGCAGGAACTGAAGACAGTTGCAGTAGAGGCCTGGCAGAACATCACCAGGGATGAAACCCAGCGTCTGGTGATGTCTATGCGTTCCAGACTTCAGGCTGTGATTGACTGCAAAGGATTTGCAACCAAGTATTAAGAAGGGAAAGTTTGATTTATGATTATTATTCTGTCCCATTACTTTTGGTCCCTTAACAAGTGGGAGGCACATATGCAAACTGCTGTAAGTCCTACACCGTTCACCTGAGTTGGATGTACATACCCTCAAATTAAAGCTGACAGTCTGCAGTTAATGCACATTGTGTTTGTTTCATTCCAACTCCATTGTGCTGGTGTATAGAGCCAAAGATGTTAGAATTGTGTCGATGTCCCAATATTTCTGGACCTGACTGTATATTTGAGTCTATCCTGTCTGCTCTTTTTTTGCTCCATAGCAGAAACTATGAATATTCGTGTGTTTTTTTTAATATATAAAATTGGCTTCATGAGAAATTAGATGTATCCTAACTATAACACTGTAATACTTTTAAACAACTAGTATATGAAAGCAATAATGTATGTATCTATTTTATCTGTTTCAATCTAACTTTTAAAATTGTTTGTTTGAGATTAATACAGTATAAGAATGACTTGTATGAATATTCCACAGAAAACATAGCATGCCTTGTACAGAGAAATTCTGTGCAAGCTTTTAGAACTTTAACATATATACAGCCCTTAAGGATTGCGATTACATTTTAAAAAATTAATTTAAAAATCATTAAGGTATGTTTTGTTTTATTTTTCTTAACAGCTGCTATTGCAGGAATCCTTCACTGGTAAGTTTATATTCAATATACAAAAATGCTTCAACAATGTGTAATTACAGTAGCATTATCTCTATAATTTATGTCTTAAGTCCCTTAGCATTGAGTAGGCCAGAGGTTACAAAGTAGTGATGGATGGGGCTTGTGTGCCTTCCACTCCTCCTCTTTCAGACTGGCTTCCTCCTTCCCCTACAGGCAGTCCTTGGGTTAGATGCCAAACGGAATTAGAATTGCTATTGCTAAATGATGTTGTCATAAAGCATGACCACATTGCTTAGTGACAGCAGTCCCAGCTGCCATCACAACCCCAGGATGCGCAGGTCATTAAGCAGAAACAGGTGGGAATCCCACATAAGGAGCATGTGGGGCATGTGTGTGCTATGGGCGAGCACTAGAAAATATGAGTTGATCTGCAGAGGCCATAGACATGTTAGAATGAAGATAGGCAGGCGGCTGCTATGAAGTAGGAGATAGTGGACTCCTTGGGAGAAAAAGCAGGAGTATCTTATTTGGATAATATACAATCTTTTCCTACCATCTTTCCCAATGATTTTGTTTGTGAAAAGCTGCCAGTGGCATTCCTATAACACAGCTCATTATGAAGTTATAATTGTGAACTAGGCACTGAGCATTTGGATCAGATCATATGGGGAAGCTACAACAACAGAAACTTACAGGACTTAAGTCCATTTTTTCTCCGATCATATTTACTTAGCTTTCTCTTCCTCTCAGTATGCAAGGAAGGAGGCAAAATATTCTTCCTGATAAATATAGATCTTACTGAACTGACACTGGGAAAAGTTTTTGGAACTTGCTAGTTCACAGTTCTTTCTAGTGCCACTCCACAAAGAGAACAATTATCTCCAAATTTCTGGGGAAGTCACTACTGGCTCTATGCTATGTGTGACCAAAGGTTTACTCAGCTTTCAAGTAGCCTGTGTGTAATTTAGGCCATAATTGATATGTTTTTACTTTTTCTCTGTATTTTTGAATTCATTTACCGTATTTTTCAGAGTATAAGACGCTCTGGACTATCCGACACACCTTAATTTTTGGGGAGGAAAATAAGAAAAAAAAAATCTGCCTCTGCCTACCAGCATCCATTGGTATTCATCTGGCTAGCGTCCTGTCGTGTGAGAGAGTTGAGGGCTGTTTGGAAACTGAAATAGTATTTGCTGTGTGAGCAACAAGGAGACAGCAAGGAGTCTGGGTGTGGCTTAGCTCAACTGTTCTGTACTAAAGCAGCATGCTGTGCTGATCTCTGAAACTGAAACTCCTCTCCTCTGTTTGTGTTTTCCTTGTATTTACTAACACGTTAGAAAATCTGCTTTTTGTATTGTATATTTACTTCATGTGTTATATTATATATAAAGAGAAGTTATTGAATCCTGCTGAATCAGTTAATTGTGTGTGCTTTCTGGATTTTTTGTTGCTGCAAAATCTGACACGTCCTTGCAGCAAACATCCAGGTCAGCTTCAGCACATTATTTCATCTTGATTCAGTATGAGCAACTGATTGGCGGGTGGATTGGCCTCCTGGAACACCCTCAATCAGCTGTTCCAGGCTGCAGGGATTGCCACAGACTGTCGCCTCCTCTGTGCCTCGCGTTTTTGGCTACATTCGGTATATAAGATACACCGAAATTTTCACCTTCTTTTAGGGGTGAAAAAAGTGTGTCTTATACTCCAAAAAATACGGTATATAATAGGCTTCCTGTTTTTACTTCTTATTTTTTAATTGCATTCACATTTCTCAAGATTCACTTTTTATGAAGGCCACAGAGCCGGACTGTTCCCTAATAAGTTTTTAGGTAGGATTCTATCACATATCCTATCTATGATGTCTTTGCAATACTTCCTCTTATTATACTATTTATGGACTCCATTGCTTCATTAGAAGTATAAAGTATAGAGGTTCTTCTAATTAGCCCAAAACTCTAGTTGTTATAGAAATGAGGAACAAATCCTTTTTAAAACAAAATGTAGCAGGATTTTCAATCCATTTCACTGTATAATTCCTCTATATATTTTTTTAAAAAAATAGTAGTTCATGCATAATAAACTATAATAAACATAGTTTGGTCTCTTTAATACAACATTAGTCCATTGTTATACTAGTAGTTCCAGAAGATATTAGAAGGAAGACATTCAGTTCTTAAACATGCAAATTTAAGAATTCTCAAGTAAAATGGCTGTTAATTTGTTGCATGCCTATAGTTGAAGGAGTAAACAATATTTCATGCTGAGATGAAGGCTTTCTAATTTAACTTGTCTTTGTTGCTGCTATTTTAATAGCTAATAATAACACAATAATGCTGGGTTATATTTTAATCTAGAAGATTCTACTCGGATATTTTCTAAAGTCAAATATATTTCATTTAATACCACAGTCTCCATGTTTGGAAATTTACATGACTTTGAATGTCACGTACATTTCATGTTTATTTTCTTATAATGGACTGGTTTGTGTAGAGCAGGGGTCTCCAACCTTTCTGGGAGTTGAAGTCCACAAGTCTTAAAGTTGCCAAGGTTGGAGACCCCTGGTGTAGAGCATATGAGGTAGTGATGGGATTCAGCCGGTTTGTACCAGTTTGGGAGAACCATTTGTTAACTTTCTGAGCAGTTCAGCGAACCGGTTGTTGGAAGAAATATTCCAACAGCCTTTTGTTTTCCCCACTTTACAGGGCTAATGCTGTCAGGAAGGAAACATTCTGGTGTGCCTCTGTGTTATTTCTAGCCTAATCTTGCTTATCTTTAAGTGTTTTCAGAAACTGCCTCTCCGGTTAAGCCTTCTACATTGTAACAGCCCTTAATGATTCTTGGCAGTATGCCCAGACTAGCTGTAGCTGCTTCTCTGGAGTTTTTTTGTTTGTTTCTTGGGTTTGCTGGTATTTTTTATTAGGGGGCTTGATTTTTTAAAAAGTTTTTTACACTGCTTGAACTTTTGGGGTGTACTTCCAAGAGGCAGGATGCAAGCTTGGCACTCTGTCTGATTTTTTTACTGCCTTTCTGGGGGTATGTGATCTTTCCTTAAATCTGGATGATTTCCTTAGGATATCTTGTGAGGAGAGTGAGACTAGCTGATACCTTTAAGTGGTGCAAATGGATCTAATGATTGCTTTTCCTGGGTGGGAAAGGATGCTTTGTCAGTTCATTGAGTACAGGAGTCTCTTGTCTATGGGGATTCTTCAATAATCCAGGTCATGGTTATCCCAAAGGTGCTTTTTTCAAGAGGCAACTGAACTTTCTTGGTTTTCAGAAAGTCCAGTTGTCTCTTGAAAAATCACCTTTGGGACATGAGTTTCTTGCATTGCTTCACAGTGGCCAAAACACATGATTGCTCACTGACAGTAAGTGGATCCTCTTTCTAATTTGTTTTAGTTTTTTCACATGATAAGGCTTTCTAATCTAATAATTGGTATTTAGGGCAGCTTTTTGCAAGCAAAGAAGCTTTTTTGTATTTTTGTATAGGTAATCCTTGACTTACAACAGTTCATTTAGTGACCATTCAAAGTTACAATGGCACTGAAAAAAGTGACTTATGACCATTTTTCACATTTACGACCGTTGCAATATCCCCACAGTCATGAGAGGCTGGGCGAGGCGAAGCGCCCTTCAACATGAGTGACGTTGAGTTGGCCACACCCACCCAGTCATATGACCACCCAGCCACACCTACCGACCCAGTCATTAGAGCAGAGAACCGGTTGTTAAATTATTTGAATTTTACCACTGATATGAGGGATTATAGTACACCTAAATTGTAAAACTATGTGCAAATGATTGAAATGAAGGTGAGTAGACTCACTAGGAAAAAGTAGAATGTTCTACCACTCCATGGCAGGATTCTGCATTTTTGTGATTATGTTTTATCCAATAATCTCTTTACTCAAGTGACTCCTGGGTCCTCCTTTTGATTTATTGCCAAATATGTATACTTTTAACAGGTATCACATAACAACTCTCTTTGAAAATGATCGTCACTTTTCTCATCTTTCAACTCTGGAACGGGAAATGGCATTTCGAACTGAAATGGTTAGAATTTATAACTTAAGTGATATTATTACTTTTAGACATATTAATTCTATAATAAGGATATCAAATAATATGTCCTTTTTAAATTTTTAAATGTAAACTACCATGTATTCGCAAATCAAAATGATACTGTATTCGTTTAGATGATTTAAAAAAAAATTTGTTCTTAATATTTTAATATTTATGTGGTGTTTGCAGTTTCACAGATTACTTGTCACAGTTTCTTTTACTGATGCTAGAAAATTTTCAAATACATGCAGCTTCTTTAGATTATATCTTTACTAAATTAATTTGCCCTGTAGAGTCACTGGGAGTCAAACAGCCTATAAATTACATAAGTAAATAGTTTCAATAAATATGGTGTAGTGGTTAAGGCACCAGGCTACCAATTAGGAACCTGTGAATTTTAGTACTGTCTTAGATGCAAAGCCAGTTTGGTGATCCTGGACCAGTCACTTTCCCTGCCGTAGGAAGGAGGTAATAGCAAACCACTTCTGAAAAACTTTGCCCAGAAAACTGCAGGGATTTATCAAGGCAGTCTCCAAGAATCATACATAATTGAATAGAAGAAAAATATAGCTATAAGATAGAGGTCTCCAATCTTTCTGACCAGTGGTGGGTTTTAAATTTTGTTGCTATCGGTGGGCGTGGCTATGTGGGGGGAGCCAAGTGATTGAGTGGGCATGGCCAACTTGACTTCACTCACGCCCACTTAGTCACATGACCCCCCCCACCTAGCCACGCCCACAGGAAAAGGTAGGAAATTTTTTGGTATTTCCACCTATCTACTTACCTCCCTTCGCCAGTCGCCTCAGTTTCCCCTCTTTTAGCGGCCCCAGCCCTAACCATGCTTCCTCCCCCTCCACCACCTCAGGCTGCTTACCTTCTGTGGCGACTGGTCCAGAGTCCGGAAGGCAAGCTGACCGGAGTTTTCGGCGGCCCCCAGCAAGCTGCCACTGCTGGAAAGTGGCTGGCAAAGAAGGCTCCATAGAAGCAGGCCGCTGAAAAGTACCGGAGGTCGTGGAAAAAGCTGCCGTTGCCGCCATATTCTTTGTGCATGTGCAACCCATTGGATTTGCAGACCAATAGGATGTGTGTGCGCAAAGAACATGGCGATGAACAGGGCGAGCGAGTGGTGACCGGGGGACTGGTTCGGGGGCGTGGCCAGCCGGCCATCGCTACCAGTTCGGCAACCTTGGCCAAATTTTCACCAATGGTTCATGCAAATCGGTGCGAACCGGCTGAATAACACCTCTGTTCTGACACCATGGACCGTTTCATGGAAGACAATGGATTGGGGATAGGGGATGGTCTCACATGCAACCTAAATTCCGCCCGTGTACAGATGAAATTTTGCTCACTCATGCACACTTGTATAGCGTGGATGGCGACTCCTACTAGGAGAGATATTTATCTTTTCAATAAAATATATTTTAAATATATTTTAGTTATGCTTGGAATAATATTTATGAAATTTAAATTAGTAATGGCTAAATGTAGATTCAGTTATTTTTAATTTATTCTATGTTAATGTTTTGGACTGCTTGGGAAATTAAGAAGAATTTAGAACCTCATAATAGTAGTACAAGCTAGTTAGGAATACAGTATATTGATTGATTCTTTAGATTCATATCCTGCCTTTCTTGCATGATCTCAAATATAGGTAGTCCTCAAGTTATGATCACAATTGAACCCAAATTTTCTATTGCTAAGTAACACAGTTGAATTTAGCCCCATTTTATGATCTTTCTTGCTATAGTTAAGTGAATTATCGTGTTGTTAAATTAGTAACAGTTTGTTAAGTGAACCTGGCTTCCCCATTGATTATGCTTATCAGCAGGTCACAAAAACTGTTCATATGACCCTGGGACACTGCAACCATCATAAATATGAGTCAGTTTCCAAGTGGCTGAATTTTGATCATGTGACCATGGGGATGCTGCAATGGTCGTAAGTGTGAAAAATGGTCATAAGTCATTTTTCAGTGCCATTGTAACTTCAAATTGTCACCAAACAAACTGTTGTAAATTGGGTACTATGCATAGTTTATGTAGCATTTTTCCTTACCTATTTATATCCCATGTTTATTATGTTTATAAATAACATAAATTGATAAAAATATATAATACTCCTTCTTCCTCTATTTTATCCACAATAACATCAAGTCTCCCAACTGACTTTCATACCTAAGAATGGACTAGTATGCAGTCTCCTGTTGCCTTAACCACTAAACCAAACTTGCTTGCTCCTTTATATATTTTCTATAGCAATACCTGATGGCTATATGTCAGTGACTGAGTATAGACTTCAACTCGGATTTTGCCAGACCTAGTTTAACATATTAAGCAAGTGTTGATATGTTACAGATAACTTGCAATATTTGTTTTAATCTTGTTTTATTCCACTTTTGATCTAGAAATAGTAAAATTACTTCAATAGATATTATTGTATTTATTGCTATAGCAAATTATTTAAATTCAAATGTACAAATATGAAGCAAATTATATATTATACTAAACATTTAAATATTGTTTTTAAATATATTCACTTTAGGGTCTTTATTATTCCTACTTCAAGACTATAGTTGAAGCACCATCATTTTACAGTGGAGTTTGGATGATTATGAATGATAATCTAACTGAATATCCTCTTGTAATAAACACACTGAAAAGATTTAATCTCTATCCAGAGGTAAGCCACTTTTTAAAAACAACAACAACAACCATAATAATAATGATGATGATGATGATGATGCAATGAGAAAGATGAAACAGTAGATCACCTTATTGGTGTCTGCAGCAAAATCTCACAGACTGATTATCTACAACGTCATGATCAAATTGTCAAAATCATACATTGGAAGCTTTGCTAGAAGTTTGGGTTCAAATGCAGGAAAAATTACTGGGAACACCAAATTTACAGTTCTTGAAAATGAACAGGTCAATATCTTGTGGGACTTCCGGATCCAGACAGACAGACCTCTGGCCCACAACATTGCTATTGTGGAAAAGAAAAAAGTCTGCTTCATTGATACTGCAATACCAGGTGATGCACAAATTGAAGAGAAACGGCTAGAAAAAATTACAAAATATCATGATTTGCAAATTGAAGTTGAGCAATTATGGAGGAAGAAATCAATAGTTGTACCAATCGTAATAGGAGCCCTTGGAATAATATCCAAAGGACTGCCTAGATACATGGAAATTTTGAATTTATTACACCTGAATGTTCTGACATTGCAAAAAACCACTTTGACAAATGTGCAACAATTGCTATTAAGTTAGGAAAAATTGTTGGAGATGATGGATTTGATCTTGATAATGAAGAGTTGATAAAAGCAGTAATACCAGAAGAAGGATACAATTACTTAGGAAGCTTCTGACCTGCTGCACAACCAAGTCAAGGAAGCTACTTCAACAAAATACATAAAGTGAGTCCAAAAAATCTTGAAATCAAAGCTGAGTGGAGGAAATATCATAAAAGCAATTAACACTTGGGCAGTGCCTGTAATATGATACTCAGCTGGAATAATTGATTGGATTCAGCTAGAACTTGATAAGTTGAATCAAAAGACAAGAAAACTAATGAAAATGCACTATGCTCTGCACCCAGAAAGTGATATTGAACTGTTAAATTTTTAGCAGTCCCAGACTGAATTGAATTGAAGATTAAACTATAATAATATTAGTAATAAAATAATAATTTCAACACAGAATTAATTACATGTAGTTTTTAAAAAGTAGTATCTTTTGTTAGTATCTAAGACTTTTAAATAGGAAGTGAATATAATCCTCAATTTACATCCATTTGTTTAGTGATTTAGAAGTTACGATGGCACTGCAAAATATATATATATATTTCTGACCATGGCAACATCCCACAGGCATGTGATCAAAATTTGAGCAGTTGGCAACTACATGTATTTATGATGATTGCAGTGTCCCAAGGTCATGTGATTGCCATGTGTGACCTCCCAAGTGGGTTCAGAAAACTAAAGTCTATGGAAGAAGCCAAACTTGCTTAACAACAGCATGATTCACTTATCAGCCATGGCCAAAAAGGATTGCATGTAACTTACTAACGATCGCCTCGCTTAGCAACAGAAATTATTTTCTTAAAAATCTTAATTTGATCAATTTTATTTGGTCACAAGTCTAAGAATACCTCTATTATAAACATAATACCATCTCATATCATCTCAGCTTCATATGATGAATCCACAGAGAAGAAAATATGTCTGTGAAAAATATCTATTAGTAAAATTTCAGTCTTGTGTAAATTCCAGAAGAATTACTTTATTGTCTTCAGAATATTTAGTGTGCTATCTAGTTTATTGTTAAACAACTTGAAAGTTTGCAAATATGTCTTTATGTTTTTAACAGGATGCTTGTATAATGCCAGTTACCATTTTATAAAAAATACACTAAAACTTAAAACAAAATTTCAAGAAGAAAGAAAAAGAATTTTAAAATATTCAGATACTGATAAATAGCCATAGAAAAATGTCTTTTGATTGCTGAGGTAAACAATGTTCTTTTGAAATTATAATCCTATTTTCTGCACAGGTTGTGTTAGCCAGCTGGTACCGCATATATACAGGGGCAATGAATTCTTTTGGCATTCAGACACAAAAGTGTTGGACTGTGAATAGAGGGGAAGGTCTGAGTCCTGTTGAAAGCTGCGAAGGCAAGTGTTCCATATTTATTCATTGTGAACATTGCACAAAATGGAGTGTGAAATAATATAAAAAATCCTTTTTGAAAGGTTATTAACAATTAGAATTTGTGGTTATCCATGGTCTAATTAAATATTTAGTTAGTCAATTAACATTTGACTAATTTGTGCATATTGCAGAAGTCTTAATATATAAATCTTATTTTCAGAAAGGATAATACTTAATAGTAGCTTGTTAAAAGGAAATGAAGAAATTGGCAGATATAGGTATATAAATAATTTAGAAACCTGAAATTATAAAAACACAACATGTATAAATAGATTTGAGTCCAAGCAGCATCACACTAATACTCGTGTCAATGGGCAGCCTTCTGAGGTCTACCTAGGCTGTTTCCTATTTGACCTTTCATTTTTTAAAAGTTTAGTATTTTAAATTTAAATAAAATCAAATGGAAGCAAAATACAAGCCATTCAACATTATTTTTGTTTATTACAATGTCTTGGTGCTACATAATCTTTCATTGCAAATAGAAATTATGGATGACCATATTAGAAAATATAAAGTTTTATGGGAGATAATCAAGAAAACTCAGAGTTTAGGACTAATTAGAAAATTAAGAAAAAAAATCAGAAAGCAGCAATAGCAAACCACTTCCATATTGTCAAGAATAATATACACATCCATTAAATCAGCATGAGTTCAGCTCAAAAGAGGCTGCCTTTAAACTGACATTAGTAGATTATATCCAGCAGCATCCTGGAGATGAAATTCTACAAAATTATGGATATGGCATTGCAATCCAAGTTCTTCTTTCATTTGATCGCAGTTTAAGTGCTTGACAACTGTCAAGCACAACAACTGTCTTGTACTTAAAATTGTTGCAATGCCTTTTGATCACATGATCATGATTTGCAACCTTTCCAGTTGGTTGGTCATTTAATAACCATGATGATTTGCTTAATGGCCATGATCATTTCTTTAACAACTATGATAAAAATAAATCCTGTCCAGAAACATTATGATTTGCTTACTGGCCAGATTACTTAGCAACTGAAATTCCATACCAATTGTGTTAATGAGTACCTGTAGATATAGAGTTATGTTAACAAGTGACAGTGCAAAAAATAACCTGACCAAAAATAAATAACCAACCTACAACTTTTTGTGGGTTTTGTTTTTGTTTAGAGGCTACATAATATATTGACAAAATAACGAATTTAGATATTTGGAAGATGTATTCCCTGCCTCAGGTAGGAAGAGAGCTCAAATAGAAAATGCAATATGACATTATGGATAGGGCTGCAGTTATTTTAATATGATCTAAGCCATTTTTAAGAAGCTGAGTTATTGAAAATTACATTATAGCTGCATTTTGAAATGGAGCTCTGGGAGGATGACACTGCAATTATTCTTTTCTAGAAATAGTGCAGTCTAAATTCATGAAGGATTTCAGATCCTCAAGCATGTTCTTCCTTCTTACAGATGAAAGGTGGTTTAGCATTGTGCCGAAACCCATAAGGTGTTTATCTGGAGGTATCAAAACTCTTATCCCAAACACTGTCAGCATCTTCACACTTGACCACATTTTCTGCTTTAACTTCATGATGTGGTAGTTACCACTGTGAACATGTGTCTTCCAATAAGTATCTCATCTGGTTTCCCATCCTCTAATAAAGCACATACATATTTTACTCGAGGAGCTTACAAAAGTACATATAATGTTCCTGGCAAACCACAAGATGGCTCTGATCTGCTAAGAATGAACTTGAGATGGCTTCCAAATTATTATGTTGATCACAAAAAGTTAATAAATAAAAAAAATTGTGGACATAGCCTGAAATGAAATAAGTCTAGGATTATGGAGAATGAGAACAAGACTCAGAAAAGGTTGAGTAATAATATACACACAAACAAAATCAATAATATAATGCATTTTCCTGACTAAATCTTACTTACCGTATTTTCTGGCGTATAAGATGACGGCGTATAAGACAACTCCCGACTTTTCCTGTTAAAATATAGGGTTTGGGCTATACTCGCTGTACAAGACTACCCCTCTTCCAACGCACACCAAATAAAAATTAAAAAACATCAACTGGCTCACCCACAATGTAAAAGCAGCTGTGCTAGACCCAAAATGGCCCCTGCAACAAGCAGGAACCTCACACAGCCACAAAAAGCCAAACCCCCCCCCCCAACTTTCACACTTTACACACACAAAATTCTACATACAGCTTTGTGAGATTTTTTGTGTTTGTGTAGTTAGAGTGAAACACTACAGAAACACACTAAATCTCAGAAAGCTGCACAAATTTTATTTTATTTTATTTTTATTTTTATATGAAAACTAAATTTAAAACTTCCTAAACTTTAAATGGCTAGGTCTAAAAAAGAACAACTAAAAAAAACCCCAATTAACTATTTTTTTTTAAAGCTCCCAAAGGGAAAAAAAAACTTACCCAATAGAACAGGGCTCTCCAACCTTGGCAACTTTAAGACTTGTAGACTTCAACTCCCAGAATTCCTCAGCCAGCTTTGTTTTGCTGGCTGAGGAATTCTGGGAGTTGAAATCCACAACTCCCTGCCTGCTTGATTGCAGGCAGGGAGAGGCTTGCTGATGGAATGGATTCAGGCAAGCGAAGCAAGGCAGGCGTTGTGACTAGCAGCTAAGGTAAGCAAGCTGGAGGGGGAAAACTTTTTTTACAAAACTTTTACATGGCTCTAGCGATCCCAGCTGCGTTGCCTGATTAGCAGGCAAAGCTGGGATCATGGCTCTGGCGATCCCAGCTGTGTTTCCTGATTAGCAGGCAAAGCTGGGATCGTGGCTCTGGCGATCCCAGCTGCGTTGCCTGATTAGCAGGCAAAGCTGGGATCGTGGCTCTGGAGATCCCAGCTGCGTTTCCTGATTAGCAGGCAAAGCTGGGATCGTGGCTCTGGCGATTCCAGCTGCGTTGCCTGATTAGCAGGCAAAGCTGGGATTGTCAGAGCTTGGATCGCCAGAGCCATTTAAGGCTCGTCAGAGCCTTTCGGGCTGGTCTGCCTGGTTACAGGAGAACGACACCTGGCGTATAAGACGACCCCCGACTTTTGAGAAGATTTTCATGTGTTAAAAAGTCGTCTTATACGCCGGAAAATACGGTACCCCATAAGCAAAAGTGGTTATTTGTTTGGTCTTTCTGTAGGTTCCTGGAAACTCCATCCTTCACTTAGAAACTTTTTAGAGGATGGTACAGCTCTTTTGTGCCAGCTCTAGCCATATTTTTAGTTTTTAGTTTTAGTTTTAGCCATCTTTAGTTTTTGATGAGGTGTTGAAATAGCCAAATACATTTTCAGTGTTTTCAATGTTTTCTTATTTATTTATATTTTATATAGAAGAATCTAGCCTACTAGCTAACTAATCCCTCATGTTCCAGTTAAAGTGGCATAATGGAGCTTTTCAAACGTCATCTTCCTCTAAAGAGAGATACATTTGTTTCCCCCTATTTTCTGTCATCATATAGAATTACTCATAGTCCTTGACTTACAGCCATTCATTTAATGACCATTTGAAGTTACAGTGGCATTGAAAAAATTGACTTAAAATCTTTCTTATGACTTAGAGGTGTTATAACCTTCCCAAGGTCAAATTTGGAAATTTGGCAATCACCTTTTATTTATGACGATTGCAGCATCCTGGGACCACTTAATAACCTTCTTGCTTGGCAATTGAAATTCTGGTCTCAATTGTGCTAATAAGTTGAGGATTACCTGTAATTAACATTGAATACTTTCATACATGAGCAAGCTGCTCCAAGATAGAGAAATGCTGGGAAAAATGCATTGGTAGCAAAAAAAAAAAGAAGAAGAAGAAGAAGAAGAAGAGAAGGCACTAACACAATTGGAATAAGGTATGAGTGGGCTGCATTTTAATTTAAACATGACAAAAGCAAAAGGAGGGATAAGGAAGGAACTGGGATAATCAGTGGTGATTGGGCACATGGGACATAGTAGAGATGGAAAGAAAGGGACAAGGAAAAATGTCTTCTATCCAACAAGTGCAGTCTACAATTCATCTGGGCAAAATCTAAAAAAACCAAGAGGCTCCAGATTTTGGTGTGACCAGATCATAATGCACCCACATTTGGTGGAGTGGACAAGCTGTACATGTTTTGTGCATGGAACAATGCAAATTTTTCACTTCAGTCATATCTTTATTAAGTTGTTTTGTGAAGTTGCCTTTGAAACCTATTAAATAGATAAGTTAAATAATGCAAACTTAAACATAGAAAGAATTTAGTTATATAACAATATATTAATATATGCAAAATTTTTGCACAGTGGAACTTAATTTAAAAATCAAAACATGAAGTATTTTATTTCCATGTGAATTGCTATTTGATAGGATTAGGAGACCCTGCTTCTTTTTATGTGGCTATGATATTTCTTCTAAATGGATTGATGGTGTCAGTTTTCTTCCTATATGGCACATATCTAAGGTAAGATAACATTAAAAAGGTTTGTTTGCTAAGTGGATAATTGTAATTATTCTGCATTTTGTTAAATATGCACTAAATGTGAAAATTTGTACACAAACTTTACATTACTTCAGAATGCCACAATTTATGGGACATATACACAATTCTTCAATTTAATTTGTATAGGACAGTTTGATGTTAGAGAATTATGGGGTTAGGGAATATATTTTCACAGATATATTGATTCACCCATGGAATTTCCAGCTGATAGACTTATGGTACAATGCTTGTTTTTAATGTTTTTACAGTAGATATTTGTCTTTTTTCTTCCAATGATTACAGTGAAAAGAAAATGTATAATACCAATTCCAGTCTAATGAAAGACATGGTCTAGAGCCATTCAGAAAAGTGAATAAGAAAGCTAAGTGGTTGAATTTGCACTCTGGCCCTTAAGACTCTTATTGTAATATCTTCATTCAGCTGTATTTTTCTGTCTTCAGTTATTTGCTTTCACGCCTATGCCCACAATCCTTGCTCCTTTCACCCATAAGGCATATCTTTGCTTGTTAAAGTTGGCTATTACATAGGAGATTGTGGTTGTGGAGTTAGGGCTGTACAATAATCAGAGTGCATTTCTGCTGATGTAGCGAGACTTCTTTGTTTTTTCTTATCACACATAGGTGGCATATATTTCATTTTTTCCTGCAGAGTGTTGCCAACTTGATAGAGCATGATAGCTAACCTTTTTGCCGTCACGTGCCAAAAACGGGGGGAGGATGGGGGGGTCACACGTGCGTGTGGCCATGCCCATAATTCAATGCGTCCTGCTCCCCATGCATGCGCATGTGACCCCCCCTGCACTCCCCCCGCTTTTGGCACGTGATGGCATGGTGGGCCCAATAGGCCCATTTTTTGCCCTCCCCAGGCTCCAGAGGCTTTCTTGGAGCCTGGGGAGGGTGAAAACGGCCTTCCCCATCCCACCCCCAGAGGCCCTCCGGAGGCCTGAAACACTCCATTTCCTGACTTCCAGTGGGACCAGAAGGCCCATTTTTCACCCTCCCCTGGCTCCAGAGGCTTTCTAGGAGGCTGGGGAGGGTGAAAACGGCCTTCCCCATCCATCCCTGGAGGCCTCCGGAGGCTGAAAACAACCTGTTTTCCAGCACGCTGCTCCTCCAATCCATCCGCTGGGATCTTCTCCTAGTTGCTGGGGAATACTGAGTGTAGATTTCTCTCTCCTCTGGCTGACCACGCCCACTCTGTCAGTCCTACGCCAGTCTTTCTCACTCAGTGACTGAGGAAACTTGCTTCTTTGCTTCTCTCTCGAGTGATCTTTCTGGCTGACTTGGTTTAGCTGAATTTTCTTTATTTTTGGGGGGGGTTTTTTGGTTGTTGTTGTAGCTGATTAGTTAGCTTATTAGTGTAGAAGGTGCAACTTCCAGTGGGCCCGGAAGGCCTGAAAATTAGCTGGCTGGTGCATGCATGCGTGCTGGAGCTGAGCTAGGCTAATGCTCACGTGCCCAGTGATATGACTCCCCGTGTCCACCTGTGGCACATGTGCCATAGGTCGCCATCAGGGTGATAGAGCATATCTGTACAATACAAGTGAAAGTGAGGAGAATTCATTCAGTGATAGATACTTTCTACAGTAGAAAGACACTTCTGTAAATCAAAAATGGTTTATGGTTTATGGTTTATTTGCCCTACTCCCGAAGGACTCAGGGCGGTGAACAGCCAACAATAAAATACATAAATACAAAAAAATTAAAAACCAGATAAAATCAAATTAAATCATTTTGGCCCAGACAGATTAAAACACCCCAATAATTTAAAAACAGATTAAAATTTACATATTTAAAAAGGGAAGAAATTAGGCCAAGCCCGCCTGATGGAATAAAAAGGTCTTCACAGAACGGCGGAAGGAGCGCAGATCCGGGATCCTCCGTATCTCCGGGGGGGGAGCTCATTCCAGATGGTAGGTGCCCCCACAGAGAAGGCTCTCCCCCTAGGGGCCGCCAGTCGACACTGTTTGGCTGACGGCACCCGGAGGAGTCCCTTTCTATGAGAGCGTACTGGCCGGTGGGAGGCTATTTGTGGTAGTAGGCGGTCCCGTAAATAACCAGGTCCTAAGCCATGGAGCGCTTTAAAGGTGGTAACCAAAACCTTGAAGCGCACCCGAAAGACCACCGGGAGCCAGTGCAGCTCGCGCAGGAGAGGTGTTACATGGGAGCGCCATGTCGCTCTCATTACCACCCGCGCGGCCGCACTCTGCGCCAGTTGGAGCCTCCGGGTGCTCCTCAAGGGGAGCCCCATGTAGAAAGCATTACAATAGTCCAGGCGGGAGGTGACGAGGGCATGAGTGACCATGCGTAACGAGTCCCGATCCAGAAAGGGACGCAACTGGCGAATCAGGCGAACCTGATAAAAAATCCTCCTGGTCACGGCCGTCAAGTGCTCTTCTAAAGACAGCCGTGAGTCCAGGAGGACGCCCAAGTTGCGAGCCCTCTCCATGGGGGCCAATGATTCGCCCCCAATAGTCAGTGATGGCGTCAACTGACTATATCGGGACGTCGGAAACCACAGCCACTCAGTCTTGGATGGGTTGAGCCTGAGCCTGTTCCTCCCCATCCAGATCCGTATGGCCTCCAGGCACCGGGACATCACTTCAAGGGCATTAGTACTAACTTCAGTGATTCACTTAACTGTGGCAATAAAGTAATATTTTTTAACATGACATGATAATATTTTCACACTAGCTTTTTATTTTTTATTATTTGATTTGACTCAGAGGTTTCACATTATCACTGTTTTGATCATAATTATTTCATTAAATATTAATATAATTAAGCCTTAAGATTTTAACCCAAATTTCTGTCCTTTTATAATCAGGTAAAAAATACATGTTTTTATTTATGTCAGAGAGCATTTTTACTGCTTAGTATTTAATAAGAACTGTATTTTACACACTATAAAATGCACTTCCTCCCCCCCCCCCAAAAAAAGTGGGTGGAAATGTCTGTGTGTCTTATAGAGCGAATATTGCAACGGGTGGGAGGGGGGGTTGGTGCTTGTCACTGCTGCCGCCAGTCGCCACCACTGGCGGGAGCATTGTAGCCTTCGCGGCTGAGCAGTGGTTGGATCAGCCTCCCAGAATACTGCTGATCAGCTGTTCTAGCCGCTGCTGCCTATCATCCAGTTTGCTGCTGTTCACTGCTGCCGAATAGCATCAGCAGTGATAGGGGGTGAACGGAGATCAGTGATGTCGATAGGTGGTGGCAGTTATCGACAGCAACAGCCGGCGGCAATCGGTGACGGTAATAGGTGGCAGTGGCGATAGACGGTGGTGGCAATAGGCGGTGGCGGCGATTCCTGCTGCCTAGAACAGCTGATTGGCGGTATTCTGGAAGGCCGATCCAACCACCAATCAGCTGCTCAGTAACGAAGGCTACAGCGTTCCCCGGCAGCAGCTCAACTCAGTTGACAGGTGCTGGGGCTGCGATAACTTGCTGAAGCTGACCAGGCTGTTTGCTGTTTGCTGCAAGGGCACTAGCCAGATGAATACCAGATAGATGCTGGGAGGCAGAGGCAGATTTTTTTTTTTCTTGTTTTCCTCCTCTAAAACGAATGTGCGTCTTATGGTCCAGTGTGTCTTATACTGTGAAAAATATAGTATGTAAAAACAATTTTGCTGATACAGTTCTTTACTTATGGTCATTAATTCAGCAACTGTTCAAAGTTAACAGTGTTACTGAACGAAGGGACTTATGGTTGGTCCCAAAGTTATGATAGTTTCAGTGGCCCCACAGTCACATGATCAGAACGCAGGCATTTGGTGACCCAGTTGCATATATGACTGCAATTCCCAACTATTTCTAAGCCCTTTTGGCCCCCTGCGCTCCATTGTCCCTGATGTCCTAGCTGATTTTCACTATCTTCTTGCTCCCGCTCCTGACCTGGTCCTTTTCAAGGCAGTTGCTGATTGATGAGACTTTCTTCCCAAGGTCATGCAAAGCCGTTTCCTTATGAGACCAGGGGAATATGGCCTCACTTGCTTAGCAGCTGCCTTTCAAAGGGTGAGCATACTTCGTCAACACTGGAAGAAAGATGATGGTGAAAAATTGGTGGATTGGTGGAGTGTAGGACAGCAGGAGCCACAGAGTGACAAGGGCAAGTGAAGATGAGATTGGACTGGGATAATTGGTTTCCTAGGGCTCTGTAGTTTTGTGTCACTCTGTGGGGGTTGGAATACAACAGCTTTGCACCATACTGCTGAGGCTTCCTGAGATTCTGTGGCTTTATACCATGCAGTTGGGGCAGACTATGGCAGTTGAGATTTCCAAAGGTGGCTTAGTACTGCCTAGAGTGGCTTTGCATCAAGAAGCCCCTGATCCTCAGCCTGGCAAGCAATCCCAGAGCCATACAGTTCTGGACTTGCTTGCCAACTTGCAAGCTAGCACACAGGACAGACAAAAAGACAGACTTTGGGAATGGGGGGAGGGGGAATAGATAGTTGAAGAGGAGGCAGTATCTTATTTTAGAAAAACTGAGGCTGTGGGCTGGGAGAGACCAAGTTGGCAGAAGTTTGGATTGGTGTGCTTGCTTGACTAACAATTGCTGAAATTCATTTAACTACGGCAACAGGAAGTGCTGAGGTTGCCATTGCTAAGAGATGTGATCATATGACATTGTGCTTTATGATTGCATCACGTGATAGTACCAATTGTGGTTATAAAACAAAGACTACCTGTAATAGAAAAGGTAGCATGAGAATAAGTAAAAAATATGTTCTTAGATTTTATGTTTGAGAATATACCTAAATTAGTCTTGTGTTGTCTTTGAAGTCCAGTTATTGCAGTTTAGTATCTCTTCTTGATTAAGCCACATTCACTGTTCTCCAAAAGCTATAAATCACTTACATTCTCAGCATTGCTTATTTGCATACAGATCTTCATTTATCATGTTAAAAATAACTTTCCGCTCTATTTTTAACATTTAAATTTTAATTGACAACCTTCTCAGCATCT